GGGACATGGTGGCATTGCAACCCTGCCACCCACCACCCAATGCCCCAAACTTGTGGCTGTGCAGGCAGATGCCACCTGGGACAGGCTGTGAGGACAGTGATACCACCCATGGCCCCACCACATACACAGCACCCCAATCCTCAGGCACCGCTGGGGGACTGGGAAGGACTGGGAGGGACACATAGCACAAGGGGGCTCCAGGGACACACATGGGGTGGTGGTATGGGCTGCATGGGGGTCCCTAGGAGTTTGGGGCAGGGGTGCTGACAGGCTGGGGTGGTGATATCTAGTGTTGGTGTAGGCTCTTAAGATGGGTTGGTTGGGGTTGGGGAACCTGGGAGTGGGGGGATGTTAGGTGGGCTGGTTGGGTTGAGGGATATATAGAAACCAGGGGATGTTGGGGGTAGATCTTAGGACCTTAGGATCTCAGGATCTTATCTTCATGTTCAGATGGTCTGTTGTGTGGGGTGCCTGGTAAGGGGTGCTGACCAAGTTGGGATGAGCTGGTTTAGGGGGTCCTGGGAATGAAGGACTGTTGGGGTGGCTGGTTGGGTTTAGGGAGCTGAGGGAGAGAGGAAACACCGGGTGGGCTTTTTAGGTTGGCTGATTGGCTTTAGGGGTGCTGTGGGGGTCAGAGGACTGCTAGAGTGGGCTGACTGGGTTTAGGGGTGCTTAGGAGCAGGGGCCTGGGGACTGTTGGATTGATTTGGTTTAGAGTGGGGTCAGGGAAACTTTGGGTGTTTTACTGGGGAGGGGTTGGTTGGTTTTAGAGATTCCTGGGAGTGGAAGGCTGTTGGGGGCACTCCTGGGTTGTGCTGGTTTGGTTTAAAGGTGCTGGAGGCATCGGGGAAACACTGGGTGGGCTCTTGAGAAGGGGAGGTTTGGTTTAGGGCTGCTGGGAATGGGGCTGATGTTGGGGTGGCTGCTTGGTTTTAAGGGTCCTGGGTGAGTCAGGAGAATGTTGAATGAACTGTGAGGGTGGGCTGCTTGGGTTTGGGGGTCCATCTGGGGGCCAGGGGAATGTCGGATTGGCTGGTTGGGTTTGGGGGTAGTTGTGGGGCGTGCTGGTTGGGTTGAGAGGTGCTGGTTGGGTTGAGGGGCACCTTGGGTGGGCTGTTAGGGTGAGATGCAAAAGGATGGGTATGTCCCCCCGGGTGTTGTCTCCCCCTTACCCAGCAGCAGCAGCTTGACGGTCCTGGCATCCTTCTCAGCGTCTTCCTTGAGCTTCTTCTCCAGCTCTCGGGAGTGCTTCTCCTCGGCACTGGCCCCGGCTCCCATGCTCAGCCCCGCAGCCCTGCGGTTCACCAGCCGCTGCTTGGAGGTCAGCACCAAGATGGGCAATGAGCTCCAGCCTCCCGCCGCCTCCAGCGCTCGCTCCCGGTGCCGCCGCCGCCGCCACCGTCCGCCCGCCCGGTGTGCGACAAGGACGGGGCCAAGGTCCCGCGGGGCCGCCTGCCGGGGGGCTGCGCTCAGCACCCGGGGCTTAAGCTGGGCCCCCCCGATAAACCCCCTTCAATCTGCAGCGGGCTGAGCTCAGCAATCCCGCGGCTCCCGGTGTCAGCACTTCTGCCGGGGGGGTGCCCCGGCCCCACCAGCCCCCAGCTTTGCCTCCACCGGGGGCTGGAGCAATGACCCGGCCACCCTGCGGGAAGTGGGACCCCTACCCATCTCCAGCTCTGCTGTGGACCCCAGGGGTTTGGAATTGCGGGGTGGGGATGGTGTGTCCACTGGGATCTGGTCAGAGTGGGAGCAAATGTCCCCACTGTCCCCATCTCACCTGGGCAAACCCCTGCTCTGGATCAGTGCCCACTGTCCCACCCCAGTAAGCCATGCCAGTGTCCCCACGGGCACTCCCCACAGTGACAGAATGTCAGCCTCAGTCACCACACCCTGTATCCCCAGGGGCCCTTCCAGAACCCCCCACTAATGTCCCCATGCTCCGGGTGCATGTCTTAGTGTGCCTGCCCAGCCACCCACCAGTACACTCCCAGTACCACCAGGCCAGCTCAGTGTCACCTCCACAGCGTCCCCAGGCCCTCCAGCAACCCCTGCACGATGTCCTCAGGGATACCCGCATACCTTCCAAAGCCCTCTCCAGTAACATCCCCAGTGACTACGGAGGAAATCCCAGTGTTCCCAAGCAATTCCAGCTCCTGTGTGGGGACCATACACCCCCCAACCCCAAAAACCCCTGTCCAACGTCCAGGGACACTGCAGTGCCACCTCTGTGTTACCATCCCAGCGGCAGTGAGCCCCCCAATGTCTCTGGGTCCCTCAGTGTGCCTTCAAGCGCCCCCCTCTTATGTCCCCAGTGTCCCCCCTTGCCACCACCATGTGGCCACCGCAGCAAAACGGAGTATCCCAAGGAGCACTGCAGTGACTCCATGGTGTCCCCCACCCGTGGTGACTCTAGGCCTTGCCAGGACTGCCCCAGTGCCCCCAGTACAGCCCAGTTCCCCGGGGTCCCCATTTGTTCCCAGCGCTCCCTGTCCCCGCGCCGCGGCTCTCCTGCAGCGCCTCGCTCGGCCGCCAGAGGGCGGCAGCGCCCAGCGCAGCTCCCAGTACAGCCCAGCGCAGCTCCCAGCACAGCCCAGCGCAGCTCCCAGTACGGCCCAGTGCTCCCAGTACAGCCCAGTACTCCCAATACAGCCCAGTGCTCCCAGTACAGCCCAGTACTCCCAATACAGCCCAGTGCTCCCAGTACAGCCCAGTACTCCCAATACAGCCCAGTGCTCCCAGTACAGCCCAGTACTCCCAATACAGCCCAGTGCTCCCAGTACAGCCCAGTACTCCCAATACAGCCCAGTGCTCCCAGTACAGCCCAGTACTCCCAATACAGCCCAGTGCTCCCAGTACAGCCCAGTACTCCCAATACAGCCCAGTGCTCCCAGTACAGCCCAGTACTCCCAATACAGCCCAGTGCTCCCAGTACAGCCCAGTACTCCCAATACAGCCCAGTGCTCCCAGTACAGCCCAGTACTCCCAATACAGCCCAGTGCTCCCAGTACAGCCCAGTACTCCCAATACAGCCCAGTGCTCCCAGTACAGCCCAGTACTCCCAATACAGCCCAGTGCTCCCAGTACAGCCCAGTACTCCCAATACAGCCCAGTGCTCCCAGTACAGCCCAGTACTCCCAATACAGCCCAGTGCTCCCAGTACAGCCCAGTGCTCTCAGTGCAGTCCAGCACTCCCAGTACAGCCCACAGCTCCCACTACAGCCCAGCGCAGCTCCCAGTACTGCCCAGCGCAGCTCCCAGTACAGCCCAGTGCTCCCAGTACAGCCCAGCGCAGTTCCCAGTACAGCCCAGTGCTCCCAGTACAGCCCAGTGCTCCCAGTACAGCCCAGTGCAGTTCCCAGTACAGCCCAGTGCTCCCAGCGCAGCCCAGCGCTCCCAGCGCAGCGCTGCAGCACCCCCAGTACAGCTCTGCACCCCACCAGTATGCCCAGTACAGCCCAGCACAGCCCCAGCACCCGCAGTCCCCACAGCAGCGCCTCCCACGGCTGCCAGAGGCGCACAGTGCCACCATCCCCCGGTGCTGAACAGGGCCGTGCCACAGCCCAGGGCTGCTGCTACAGCCCCAGCCAGCCCGTGGAACCACCAGCACTGCCCCAGCACCAGCTCCTGCTGCCCTCATGCCTCAGCACTTCTCCAAGCCCTCCCAGTAGTGCCCAGTACTACCCCCAGTACAGCGCAGAACCTTTCAGAGCTGACCCCAGTGCCTCCTGGAACTACTCAGGGGAGCTTGGTGCCACCCCAGTATCAATCAAAGCGCTCCCAGTCCCATCCACTGCCACCCTCAGTGCCCTCCGTTGTCTGCCCCGCTCCGTGCCGCCAAGTGCCAGCTCCCAGTACCATATCCCAGTGCTCCAGAACTTTCCTGAGGGATGCCTGCACTTTCCCGTGCCCCCAGCAGTGACTCCGAGTGCTCCCAGCAACACCCAGTGGTGGCACCGGCCACCCGCCCAGCCCAGTGCCCCCCGACACCCGCAGTGCCCCCCACTGCTGCCACCTCCCCAGAGCCCTGTGTGCCCCAGCACCGGTGACCCAGCACCAGGGACAGCCCCGCGTGCCCTGCAGCGCTCAGGGATCGCGTGGTGGGGCCAGGCCCGTCCCTACAGAGCACACGCAGCCCCGCCCGCGTCTGTCCCAAAGCCAAGTTTATTCGGGAGTGCCCCGAGCTCAGCAGGGCACACTCAGCCCTGCTCACCCCTGTGCTCCCCATGTACAACTATTTACAACCCTGCACACCCACCGGGGTGCCCAAAGAGGGTGGCTGATGGGCTGGGGGTCCCAAACACCTCTGGGTGCCACTGCCACCAAGCCCCAGCAGCAGCTCAAGGTTTTACACCAGCATGGCCCCTTCTCCTTCCCTTCTCCATCCAACCACCCTGGGGCCAAGCCCCCACTACTGGCCGAACACCTCGGTCCTACCTTGAGGTCCCATCTCACCCCTGCCACGTCCCCAGGGAGGGGACAGAGCCATGTGCCCTCACCCCTCCTCCTCAGCTTGCCTGCTGGCCTACAGCTTCCCCACAGAAAGCACTTGCTCCACCACAACCCTGGGGGGAAACTGAGGCACGAAACTACGATGGCCATGCCCAGCTTGCAGTGGGCAGCCCTTGTCTAGTACTGCCTCCCCCCTGCCCGCCCCAGGGCATCATCCCCTCCCAGACAAGGGCACCCATCCCCAGCACGGTGCCATGCCCCCGCTGTGTGGGAGAGGGGCTGCAGTGACCCATGGTCCCTGCACCACGGGATCTGGGGGTCCTCGGCAGGGCGGAAGACAGCGATGGTGGCTGCAGCCACCTCAGGGGTCCCTGCTCCTCCCCAGGGGTCCCTGCTCCTCCCTGGAGCTGGGAGGTGGGGGTGGCACCACCCCAGTGACTATGTACAGCCTACAAATAAATACAACCTCCCGTGGGAGGGGAGAGCGCGTGTGTCTGCGTGTGTGTGTGCATGGATGTATATATACATATATATATATATTTATTTATAGATATTTTTAATATTAAAAGGGGGGAAAAATAGACCACTGTGCTAGCAAAGTCCCTGATGATGGTTTCATGTATGCCCATAGGTCTCTGGCTGGTGATTCCGGCGGTTTCGAGGCTTCTTCTGGTCCTGCTGCTCCTTGGCTTTGAGGCCAGCCAGCGGCTGCGGGGGGCTGGCGGCCGTGTGGCGCCAGTAGCCCTGGCAGTACTGGTCCAGGAGTCCCATTTCAGGCTGGCTGAGGAGCTGCAGCAGGTCCTGGTAGCGGGGAGTGGGGGCGCCCGGCAGGCCGGGGGGGGTCTCCGCCTGCACCAGCACGGTGTGGACGGCGCGGCTGCTGAGGACGCGGAGCTGCACCTTGGTCACCGTGTGCTTGAAGTTGTTCTCGGTGGCGGTGCAGGAGTAGAGGCCGCTGTCGCCGAGCTGGAGGGCGCGCAGCAGCAAGCCCTGCTCCGTGCGCAGCACCCGGCCCTCCACCCGCAGCTGGGGGGACACGGAGCACGGCTCAGCCCGCTGGCAGCCAGCACCCCCACGCCCCAGCAGCGCCCTGCCCTACCTCTTTCCGCCGGTCGCTGTTGTCCTTCTGCAGCAGCCACTTGACGCTGGCCTGGGGCGAGCGGGGCTGGCACTCCAGGAAGGCTGTGCTGCCCTCCACCCCGTACTGCACGGCCTCCACCGTGTTCTTGTTAGCTGCAGGGGGGCCGTGGGCAGCCAGGTCAGCCCCAGCCCACTGCACTTCTCCCTTGCCCCCTCTGTCTCCATGGGTGGGTGTCCATCCATCCATCCATCCATCCATGTTTGTTCAATCTCTCCCCACCATATCCATCTATCCATCCATCCATCCCCAATGTACCCATCTATCCATCCATGTTCATCCTACTCCCCAACGTATCCATCCATCCGTCCATCCATCCATGCATTCATCCCTCTATCCACCCATTCAAATCTGTTCAAATCTCCTCCCCAACATATCCATCTATCCACCCATCCATCCCCAGTGTATCCATCTATCCATCCATGTTCATCCTACTCCCCAACGTATCCATTCCCACACATCCACCCGCCAAGGAATCCCTGCATGCCCAGCTGCAGCCCCGTGCCCTCAGCCTCCCCTCCCAGCTGCCCCATGCTGCAAGGCCTTGCCCAGGCCCCTCTCACCGTTGGAGTTGTAGCCGCGGCACTGCCGGATGGGGTTGCCGTGCCGGACGTCCTGCCGCCGGCTCCGCCTGCGGGAAGCGGGAGGTGAGGGGGAGCCTGTGGCTGGGGGTCCCTCCCTGACCCTGCCCCTGTCCCTGGCCCCCGCTGTACCTCTTGGAGGAGGCGGAGTAGCGGGTGCAGGCGCTGCCATCCCAGGCGCAGTAGGGGTCCCGGGCCAGGCAGCAGTCAGCACAGGCCTCCCCGTACACGTCACAGCGGTGCAGGGCCAGGTGGGTCACGCCTACGGCCGAGGACACATACAGCTGTTGCTGTTGGGAACAAGGAGGACAGGGTGAGCTGCTACCTCATCCCCACTACATTAGGGCCCCTGCAAACATCCTGTTCCGGTGCTGTGGTGGCGCTGGGCAATGCTACCGCTGGGACCAGGATGGGATCTGCCCACCCAGGTCTCTGCTATGACTCACCCTCTTGGAGGAGATGGTCATCGTCTTGATGGGTGCTGGCACCTGGATGAGAGCAGGAATGAAGAAGATGGAGGGATGACTGCTTGGACTGATGCTACACCCCAGGTCTGGGGTGGCACCCCAGACACCCTACAGGCAGCTGGAGCAGGCAGAGCAAGGCAGCGGGAGATGTGAGTGGGAAGCGAGCCAGAGGACCAAAGCCTGGAGTCCCTCCAGAGCTGGCCGAGAGATAGCTAGTGTCCCAAGGGACTGGCTGATGTCTCAAGGGGCTAGCTGCTGCCCTAGGGAGTGACTGGTAACTCAAGGGGCTAGCTGGTGTCCCAAGGGGTTGTTTGGCTGGGTCCAGAACACTCAGCAGAGGGTGGAGGACATGCCAGCCCTTACCTTGAACACTTCAATCTCCTCCAGCATGAGCTCCTCTGTCTCCATGTCATCCCTGGGGAGCACAATGACCTTCTGTACGGTGCCCCGATCTGCAAGACACCATAGTGCCCAGGTGCTCAGTGCTACCCTGGGCACCCATGCCCTCCCTGTTTGTGAAGGGGGTTCCTGCTGGGCCTGTGGAAAGGAAGGAACCCCAAGGCCCATCCCCATCTCTCTCTCCTGCTGTGGCAGCTAGCTATGTCTGGGGTGGAGTGTGCCAGCTCAGGTAACCAGCTGTGTCTAGAGTGCCACCAGAGAATGCCCAAAGCAGCATGCAGACATGCACCAGGGCAAGAGAAGGACCAGGATCATAGGGATTCTGGGATGCACATTGAGAGCAAGGGAAGCACTGTCCTGGATGATAGTGCGCCCAGGATGGGCACTGAGATCTGGGAAGGACAGGGCCTCTGGGATGGGCAACTGGGCAGGAAAGGCACAAGGCTGGACGATGACAGGCAGTAGGAAGCACATTGGATGGGTGCTAGGGTCAGGAAAAGATAAGGCTGGATGATGAGTCCCCTAGAACAAGGGGAGGACCAGGCTGCATGGCAGAATCCCTAGGATAGGAAGTATCATGCCGGATCACTGGCTTCAGGGATAGGAGCTGAGCTAAAGGAAGGACCAGGCAGGACAGCAGGGTCTGTGGGATGGCATCGGGACAGGGAAAGAACAGTCTGGAGCCTTGAGGAGGGGCAGGGATCTCAGGGGGGCATTCTCAGCCCCTCACCCCGCTCTAGCGGTGGAGGGCACCGTGCTCTGGCCAGCCCTGGTGGTGCCCGTGCCCTCCGGGGCCGCGCCGGAGCATGCTGCGTTCCCCGCGGTGCGCGGCGTGGGTACCTGTGCCCAGGAAAAGCACCTCATAGCGCCCGTCTGCCGCGTCCACCTGGTCCACGGCCACGGTGGTGAAGCGGTAGTTGACGTTGGTGCGCACCACCAGCGGCTGGCGGTGCGTGGGGTACACGGCGTGGTACATCAGCGGGTGCGCGCGCATGAAGTTGATCACTTCGTCAGGGTAGTCCTTGGTCGACTTCATGGATGGGGTGAAGGTCCCCCCAGGGCACTGTGGCACAAACACCATCAGAGCTTGGCGAGTTGGTACCCGAGCACAGGTCTGAGGGTGCTGGCTGCCTGGCAGGCACTGGCTCACCTACCCGTGGTGCCCGGGGGTACTTACGGTGCCTGGTCGGGGGTAGGGCATTTTTCCTGTGTAGGGCATCCACTGGTAGTTGGGTCCTTCCTTGTGGGCAAAGGGCCCATTGAAGACCATGCGGATGTCAGCCATCGAGTAGACACACACAGCAGAGCCCTTGAAGACCGACCTGGGGACAAGGACCTGCTGCCACCCTTTGTCATGGCATTGCCAGGACACCCACCCAGCTGAGACCCCCTCCTCTCCTGCACTGTGCCAGGAGGGTCAGCACTCACCCCGAAGCGGAGAACACAGCGTAGATAACAGGGTTCTTGGTGTCCTGAGTCTGCTGGATGAAGACGTCCTCTTGGGACAGAAAGATGGAGGCGTCACCATAGGGAAGGTAGGCAGGGACACCAGGGTACAGGCAGAGCAGCTACCCATGGAAGAGCAAGAGGCAGGGGGCAGCAGGGATGTCCCCAGCTCTGCCCAGGGTGCCCCCAAGCCTGCAGGGGTAGAGAAGGCTCCCCTCCCTTTCCTCGCACACTCACGGAGCTCGTCGAAGTGCGTTTCAATTCCATCGGGTCCCGGCACAGAGCAGACGAGCCGGGCCTTCAGGAAGGTGCTCCACTTGTTCACTAGGCAGCAGTGGCCCCCATCGTCATTCTGCAACAGTGAGAACCCTGTGCTCAGCCCTGCCTGTCCCTCCCCCTGCACACTTTGTTGCCTGCTTCCCTGTCCTCTGCTACACCTACCAGGCAGATGCGCCCGATGCGGGAATAGACCCCAGGACTCAGTGGGGCATCCGCCGACTTCTCTCGGAAGAAGAAGTAGAGCTTGTCATCATTCCTCTCGCTGCTGTCAGGGATGAGCTGGGCACGGACAAAGGCTGGGTCTGGAATGGCACAGCACAGCATGGCACCATCAGCCCAGTGGCACTGCTGCTCCATGCCATAGCAGGATGCTCAGCCCCGTTTTGCTGAAGCATCACTTCATGCCTGGAAAAGCACTGTCACAGAGTGAGAGCTGCATCTCTGAGTGTCTCTTGTGATCTCTAACGCACCAGGAGAGGCTTGAAGCATCTCTGGGGTCCCTGGGAGCATTCCTGAGGTCCACAGGTTGGAGATACATCAGCTCTACGAGCAAGGTGGTGGGAACCAGTCTTCCCCCCAGGAAGGAACCACACAGCATGGAAGCTTCTCAGGAAGCTTCTCCCTGCCATCCATCAGCCAGTGTCCAGCCTGCGCTGACAGCTCCCCCTCTTCGGGTTACCACCCCGCTGGCTCCCCAGCCCGGCAGGATCATCCCATCTGCTCTGCTCTGTTTACTCAGCTGCTGCCCCGCAGGCAGGGGTGCTCCGAGGGGGGCAGAATGAATGTTTGGGGTCACCGACTGCAGGCGACACGGCTGACATCTCAGCGCTGCAGAAACCCACACACTGACACCGACAGAGCCAGCCCATCTCTCACCAGCCTGCTCCCGCCGCCCAGCAAAGCTCCAGGCATGTCTGTCACTGCCCCACACAGCTGTCCCTGCTCTTGTGCCTTCCCATCCATCCATCCATCCATCCACCCATCCATCCATCTCTGATCAATTAATCCATCCATCCATCCATCCATCCATCCATCCATCATCAATCCAGCTATCCATCATCAATCCACCCATCCATGATCCATCCATCCATCCATCCATCATCCACCCACACATTTTCTGTCCATCAATCCATCCATCCACCCATTCACCCACCCACCCACCGGCTCACCCCCCTCGCTGCTGTCTCTGTTCTGGCAGAAGGAGGCAGTACCACGTGACAGGTCTCATCTCTAGGGCTGGAGCCATGAGGTCCCCAGGGCACCTGGCCAGTGACACCTGAACTCACCATTGAGCCAGCGGGAATTGTACTGGTCTGTCCTCATGGCTGTCTGCTTGCCCATGGTGCGGAAGATGGCTGCGTCCGTGCCCATGAAGTCGATGTAGACGCCAGCATAAAGCTCTTCATCTACAGAGGGCAGAGGTCAGCCAGGAATCCCCACCTCATCCCATCCACCCACCTCCTTCAAATCCCAGCCCCAGACCAGGCCAGTAGCCACCAGGCCACCAGGAGCCACTGCCTGTGACCATGCCAGAGAGTTCTGGAGGTTGGCACTGGTCTGTAACCACGATCCCCTCCTCTGCTGGGCCAGGTGCCTGGCCAGCTGAAGCAGGCAGTGGTGGCGGAGCAGGAACCCTGCTCCTGGTGGGAGCAGTTGTTCCATCCCGCCTGCATATTCCCTCTGTCCAGAGCAGGAAGCACTGGCACCAGGGAGCCACAGGACTCACTTATTAATGCAGAGACAGTGTCTACTTTGGGGTCGTAGGAACACTTCCCCTTGCCCGACTCCAGCTTGTCTGGCTCCAGGTAGAAGATATAATCCTGGAGAAGAAAGCAGATGGAGCAGCTGGTTAGACTTTCACTCCTTCGTTTATGTGACTCCCAAAACCCACCAGGAGAGGCAGCCTCCTCTAGGATGGTGCACAGCAGTGAGGACAGATGTGGAAGGGGTCTGCAGGTCCCCTGAGAAGCTGAAGCTCCTGTGAGCGACTCCTCCAAAGATGCTGGGTTCTTCTCCATGCCCTCCACCACCTGGAGACTTGGCTGAGCCATCAGGCTGAAGTGGGGCATCCATCTCCCAGGTCTGGAAAAACATTTTCCTCTGACTGCCTCTTCACTGCAGCTGGCTCCACTGCAAATTGCTGCTTGCCCAGCAAGGTCACACAGTTCCAGCAGCTTCAGCGGGCCTGCAGCACAGCTCGGCACAGCTTGGCTGCTGGACCCACTGCACTTCTCTTGCCAGGGGCCATTTTCCAGTGCTTTTCTTCACACAGTGAGATGCTGTGTCTGCTCCGTGGGATGCCTCCCTACTGTCGCTTCTGCCTTCCCGTGGCCATCCCTGGCACCGTCACACATTCCCAGCCAGGAGCGAGACCCACACTGCCTCTGGAGGCACATTCAAAATCCTCTGCCAGTGCTGGCTGGGGGCACATAGGGACAGGCTGGCCCAGCCAGGTCACTCCTCACCCTGGCACAGCAACCACCTTCAGCTGAGACACAGCAGCAGCACAGAGCATCCATGGGGAGCCTGGGCACGGGGGGACCTTAAGCAACCAAACTGGGCAGATGCCCACTGGCCCTGTGCCCTGGCTTGGGCACATGGGTGATAGACACGGTGACAGCCACCCTCCACTGAGAGGCCAGCAGGGTCCTGGTGGAGCCTAGGCTCTAGGAAGAACAAGAAAGGGTGAGGAGCTGGGATGTCACTGTGGGCATCTCCCACTAGAGGGTTTGCTCACACCAGCTCCTCCAGCAGCACCCATGCCCAGAGATGGGCACAGCCATGTTTCACCATCCTCATCACTGCACTGTGCTGTCCGTGCCACCATCACCATCACAAACACCTTTGCCCAACGCTGGCCCTGCTCCTGAAGTGGGCAAACACCTCACATGGACAACCTCTCTGTCTCCAGCACAGCCCTGGCACTGGCTGCACCATCTCACTCTCCTCGTCAGGCAACACAGGAGCCACTGTGGTGCTGGCACTGCTCATCAGCTAATGCACCTTGAAATCCATCAGAGCTGCCAGGAAGCACGTGCTGGCAGCCCCCAGGGAGCTCCTGCTGGGACACACACCCTCTCCCCAGCAGGGGTGACCTGAGGGGGCTGAAATGGCAACAGCGTTTTCCCAGCTGGCACTGGGGACTTGGCAGCAGGAGCTGCCCACAGTCTGGGAGATGCTCACTGCCAAGCATCACCCTTTGTCCCCAACCACCCAAGGAGCTGGGAGAGCCCCAGGCTGCACCAGGGTGCCCATGTCCGCCATGCTCCCCAGCCCATGCACTGACCCATGTTAGTCCGGAGGGGAGAGGCTCGGGGGTGACACTGTCAGGGTGGGCTGCACACTGGGGTGTTCCCAGAAGCCGGGGATGCTGTCACCTCCCTGAGTGCACTTGACTGCCAGGATGACATAAGCCCCTCTTGGGGCAAGATAAAGCAGCTTGTCAGTAATGCTTCTGTAGGCCCTACCCAAACATCTTCTGCACATTACTCGGGCATCCTCCCCCGAATCATTCCAAGCCCTGTGGCTCTGCCGGCACATGGCCCCACTTCCAAGGGACACAGCAAGCCTGGAGTCAGGCAAAGTCAGCGGTGGGTGGAGAGCCACCATCCCTGACAGTGTCCCCCACGGGGGGAATCCTACACGGACTAGGAGGAAGGAGTTAGTGAGAGAAGGAAAGCCGACGCCAGGCCGGTGGCCGGGAGACGCTGTGCTGGGAGGGAAGGGGACGGCGCCCGGCCCAGGGGTCGAAGCATGCCAGTGGGATGCAGGAGCCCGCGGCTCTGGTGTGCCCCTGCGCCAGGCGGGCACGGCTGCGGCGGGCTCCCAGACCGGTTCCCACCTTGCTTTGTGCTGGTCTCGGGCTGAGGGGGCTGTCGGTGGATCTGCTTCCCCGGCCTCCCGGCTGGCTCGGCGGGAACCCCTGGGGAAAAGGAGCAGGGCAGAGAGTTAGCGCCGGCAGGGAAGGACCCCCCAGGACAGGGGTGAGCAGGGGACCCCGAGAGCTGCGGTGATGGATGCCCATTGAGCAGCAGCACTGCTGTCCCCCTGCGTTCCTTCATGCTCCAGGCTGGGCTGGCCTCCAGCAGGAGCTTCTCCAGGATGGATCCTGCTCTCTCCCACAGAACTGGGGTGTCCTTAGCATGGAGTTGGAGAGAGTGGAGACATGGTTGCACACAGCCTGCCAGGCTGGGCTCACACCTGGAGGCTCAAAAGTGGCACCTGCCTTGTTCTTCCTGTGTGGGTGAGCCATGCCTCAGGATCAAAGCTATTAGCATCATGGGCTCACACTGCCCATGGAACACTTCCACACTGCCACTGACCCTGCTGGCCAACTAGTGCTGTCCTCGTCTGCACTAGCACCCTAGGTTCTCCTCAGATGCTGCCACTCCCCAGTTCAGTCCCAATCCAAACCCAATTTGGAATGGTCTGAGCAGCATCCACCTCTTTCAGTGCCCATGCCAGGTTTGGGGCTCCGAGGCAGACGCCCATCTTTCATATCCAGCGCCGTGATCCTCCATCAGTTTGGGCTGGTGACTCCCTCTCCAGCCTCAGGAGAAGACACAGCCTGGGACCTGTCACTCCAGCGCAGAGGGTTCAGACACCTCACAGGGCCTGGGACCCCTGGGATACTCATGCTGCTACTTGCAGAGACCAGCTCCCTCCCAAGGCCGTCCTGAAAATGTTCCTCTGTCTGCCACACCTCCTGCCTGGCAGCATGCAGCTTTGTTGCTACCCTGCATGTTGTGGTCCTTGGTGCTGGGTGGCATCCATCCGGGGATGCTCCTGACATGCCACAGGAGCTGGCACAATCCCTGCACGGTTCTCCCTGTGCAGCATCGGTGCTGGCATCCTTGGAATCTACTTTGAGGGGCTCAGCAGCCTGGCAGCAGGTGGGAAGCTGGGTTGACATGTCCCTCGTCCCAGTGGAGATCCAGCAGTGGCTGCAGCCAGCAGGGTGGGAGGGCACGTTGTGTGGAAGCTGCCATCAGAGTACAGCCACGTTCCAGCGTGAAGAGAAGTCCTTGGTCTGTGGAGATGGCTTGGCCCCTCTCAGCAGCACAACACTGTTAGCCATGGTCACCCCCAGCCCGCCCTTGCCCCCAACCTTCAGCCCCAACCTCCCCCACCAGCCAGCAGAGCCGAGCCAAGCACCCACCCCGCTGCAGTGTCCTGGGGGCTGTGCCAGCACCACCGTGCCAGACGCCAGCTCAGCACCGCCATCCCTCCCGCCCCTCACCTGGGCTTTGCGCCCGCGGTTGACGAAGGCACAGATGGGGTTGTAGGCGCCAGTGCCGCACACGTAGAGGTGTGTCCGGTTCCAGGGCTGGATCAGGCGGATGAAGTTGCCGCACTCCCCCTGGGAAGCAGAGGAGAACACGTCAAACCAAGCACGGGGGATATAGATTGCTGTGGGGCTGTGTTGGTGTGGGCACGGGATGGAACAGGTCACTGGATGGCATGCGGCATGGGACAGCATGGGACAGCATGGGTCGACACCTGGCATGGGCCATGAGCTGGCAAGCCCGAGGGCCCAGCCCTGGCTGGTAGGAGAGAGCAGCATGGGGAGTTTGGCCTCCCACTTGCCCAGAAAGCTCTCCAGGACCTGCCTGGCTGGAACAGAATGGGTGACAGGACACTGCAACACCCTGGAGTGCCACCCCATCTCCACATAGCTATACATGCTAGGGGGTGGCTTTTCCAGAGTAGGATACAGGAACATAAATCCCACTCCAGTGCCCGGCACCAGCCCCACTCCACTACCAGAAGGGGGTTCGTGGTGGTTACTCACATTACTGTTCTTGCCTGATAGGATGCACTCCTCGATCCTCTGCTGGGACGCAGGCCAATGGATCTGTGGAAACAGCAACCCAGGGGAGACCAGGACTCCCACCTGGCCCCACCAGCACCATTATGCCCATCGAGCTCTTGCTCTGGCATCAAAAAGGTCCCCAGAGTGCCCAATTACCCCCTTCCATCTGCTCCCCCCTACCCCCAGCTTACGATGAGGGGCTCGCGGTTGATGTCGTGGAGGTCCAGCGAGAGGACGTAGTCCTTGCTGCCCACGTACATGCGGTCGTGGTCCTCATCCTTCAGCAGGATGCGGTAGTCACTGGAGTTGAGGAGGAAGTTGAAGAAGTGTGCTGTGCCCGTGGCCTTCAGCTCTACAGGGGGAAAGGGAAGGTGTCAGTACCCCAGGGACCCTGATCTTCACCAGTGTCATCCCTGAGTCCAAGCCTGGGCCCAGCTGGAGGACACCCTGTGAGAAGAGGTGCCCACTTTCCACTCCCTGAGCACCATGATACTGCCGCCTCTGTGCAGGACAAGGGACAATGACAGAGATGCTCATGGCCAGAAGAGAAATCACCAGAACCTGGGCTCAGGAGATCCAGCAGCCCACAGCAGGGAGCGGAGGTTGCTGTTGAGATGGGGCAGGAGGCTGGAGCTCTCTGCCACCTCAGCCCAGAGACCACAGCTCTCAAAATTTCCATCATCATCCCCCTCCTGCACTGTGACCCTGTGCTCCAGCCAAGCCTCTGGCTCATAGGATGGGAGAGCTGGGACCCCAAGGAACCAGCTCCAGGGGAGGTGATGAGCCTCTCCCCCGCCCCGCACACCCCATCCCCCCTTGGAAAGTTATTTTTAGTCTAAGTGTGGGAGCAAGGAGTGAAAGAGGATAATGAGGGTCATGAATATTCACAAGTGCAACGAGGCAGCCAGATGGAAGGCAGAAGTGCTGCAGATGATGTGGGCCAGTGCCAAGAACCACGCGGCAGGGGCCAGGGCACGAGTAAGACAGAGCACCCTGCCCCAACAGGATACAATCTGTCCTGGGGGTCACCTCTTTGGAGATGCCGCTCTTTGGAGGTGTCACTCCCCTTGGAGATGTCACCCCCTTTGGATACCACCCACAAATATCAGACGCCACCTCCATGGGATGACATCTGCCCTGGATGCCACCCCTTTGGATACCACTCCAAGCCATCAGATGCCATCCCCATGGGATGTCATCTTCCCCATATGCTTCCTTTTGGAGGTGCTGCTCTCTTAGGATGCCATCAACAGCCATTGGATGCCATCTCCACGTGATGCCATCAGCCTCTGAAGCCAACCCCTTTGGAGATGCCACGCTTTTAAAAGGTGTCACCCTTTTTGGATGCCACAAACAACAATCAGATGCCATCCTCAGCCATTGCATGTCACGCTCGTGGGATGCCATCTGCCCCAGATGCCATACTCTTTGGCATTGTCATCCCCTTTGGATGCCACCAACAGCCATCGAATGCCACATCCATGATACTCTGAACCAATGAGCACCCTCACCCTGTGGAGTGTGTCGCTCCATGCAGAGGGGTGCCCTGTGCAGGCATCAGGAGCAGCTCTGAGGACCCTTCCTGGGGAGGAGCAGAGCAGAGTCCTGCAGGTCAGGGTCAGGAAGCATCACACCGGCTTCCAGGCAGCACTGGGCAGGGCTCCAGCAGCCAGCTTCCATTCCCAGCAGGAGGCCAAGCGCCTGCAGATCCCCTGACCTCCATCCTCCCGGCTGCACAAGGGACTGGAATGTCCCACAGGTGCCCCCAGGGTCCCCTCCCTTGCAGGGCAGCCCCTCTGTCCCACGGCTGGCAGCGGTTGATGGTCCCAGTCCCGCGGCTGCTGGACCCGCTGGGCCGTGGCAGCGAGGCCGGAGCGCACACACAGCGCGGGAGCCGTCGGAGCCGGCTGCGGGAAACGGCGTCATGGGATGGGACGTGAACCTCTGCCGGCTTGGGGGCTTGGGGCCTGCCTGCCTGCCAGCCTGGATGGCGGGATGAGCACGGTGGGCACGTGCAAGGGCTGGAATTTGGGCTGCAGGCGAGGGGGCCATGGCAGAGGTGCAGTGGAACAGGGCCAAGGATGGGGGGCCAGGCAGCTGCTCACCCACCCACCCACGGCAGGCTCCTCCTCCTGCCTGGCCCATCTGGGCTCCAGATGCTCCCTGTTGCTGGCGCTGGCTCACATGCCACCCATGGCGTCCCCAGCCTGTCCTGCAGCGGTCCCTGACTGTGCCATGGCCCACTGGGTCTGCTCCCTGCCTGTCCTATGTCCTGAAGCTGCCCCACCAACCATACACTGTGTGTGCACAGGTGTGTGCCCCACACTCTGTGTGTGTGCTGGTGCCTCCCCCAGTGCCATGCTGGTGCCAGTGCGAACCAGAGCTCGGGAGCCAGGAAAGGGCAGGGTGGCTCTGGCAGTCAGTGACACAGGCAGAGCAGAAGAGCTCGTCCCCAGCCAATGATGGAACTGCACGCCCAGGCTTCCCACTCAGGACAGAGACACCTGGAGCAGGCAGAGACAGGGATGGCAATTAAACTGGACAGGAGCCTCCGTGCCCGGACAGCCCCTCATCCGTCATCCCTGCCAAGCCTGGGAACACCAGCACCAACAGCCCTGGGATCCTGGATTGCTGGGGCACTGGTGGTGGAGGGCTCCATTGACAGCCCCCAATATCCCACATCCATTAGGACGGGCGTCTCCAGGGCTTGGCAGGGGACAGGGCCAGTAGCACAAAGGGCCTTGGCCCCCAGCGGTGGCTCCATTCAGCCCCCACGGGCCAGCGATCAGAGGGGGCTCTCCCAAAGCAGGGCGGTGCCGGACCCGCTGCCCCGTAACGCCCTCTGCAAAGAGCCTGCCGCAACCTCTGACCTCCCAAACCTCCATCGCGCTGCCCAATCCCCCAGTGCCCCCAAACCCGCCCCCAGCAGCCATGGGTGTCCCTAGGGATGGAGTGGGGCAGGGGCCCCGGCCGGGCTGGAGAAGCCCGCTCACCAGCCGATGCGCCCCAACGAGCAAATTCCCTCCTGCTTCGCCATTGCCAATCCCAGCACCGGCAGAGCTTCCCCGGCTGGCCGGGAGCCTAATCCTATTTTAATTGCCGAGCACCGGAGCCAGGAGCCGCTCGGCATCACAGCCAGGGTGGCCTCCGTGGGGACCGTCCCCTCACAACATTCCGCGGAGCCCCCACCGAGCCCCCCGGGACCCGCCTGCCGCAATCGCTCCGTGTCCTTGGGCGCCGAGCTGTAATTACCCTGCGCCCTCGAGTGATGCCGGCGGCCAGGAGCCCGAGGGATGGCAACAAGGCGCGATGCTCTGCTTTGCCCGCGGCACCACCGCCCGACTGCGTGCTCTGCAAAGCCAAATTCCTCCCGCAATGCCAGTTTCGGGCTGCATTCCCAGCTCCGGCAGCTGTCCACCATTGCTGACTGTCACCGCTGGCCCCCATCGGGCAGGGGTGACTGGTCCCTATTCATCATCCACTGGCACGGAGACCAGTGCTGATCTCCAAAGGAAAAGGGAGATTTTGGGGGTTCTCGATAAACCGCGCACCCCGTGGGACTCCTCACCCCACCCCAGTCCCCAAATCCTCCCCACTCCCCCAAACATCACCAGGGCACCCGCATGAAGAGTTAATGCCATTACGACCCGAGCGGGTCACCTCCCCAGGTGCACCATCACTGCATTCCCCAAAACCAATTACAGGCGCTCTCACCTAATTAGATTCTAATTATGGGCTTGTAGCGCATTCAACATAATTAGCATGTAAATTACACGGCGTGTTTATATTCAATAACCGCACTCCCGCCCCCCCTACCACCCCCCCCACCCCGGCTGGCGGAGCCAGCGCCTTTCGGGAGCCCTTTCTTTGCGTGGGGAAGAATGAATTCACTTTAAATGCCGATGGAGAAGCCCAGCACTGATCCCAAGGGAGCCTGGCACAGCAGGGATAAATCCCATCTCTATCCTGCAGCGTTTTATCCCACAAATTTGAAAGCGTGCCCCAAATTTTGATTATGTTCCCTACTAATTTTTTTCCCTGCTCGGAATTTGAGATGCAGTTTTTTGGGTATGCGTCAGAGGGGCAGGATGGGGAGCAATGCCAGGAGATGGATAGGGGGCTGGATGTGTCCCCTCTCGTGGTTAAAGCATTTGTTGGTATTGGGGCTGATCAAAGAGCTGGGTGGGTCGTCCGATGAAAGCAGAATTGCTTATTTGTTTGAGCGTCACTCCGCTACCCCTTGATGGGTTATTTATGATGTAATTAAGCTAATTACATGTAATAAGAGAGTTTCCGTGGCCCCCAGCCAAGCTCTTTTCCCATTTAACCGATTCACAGGTGGGAGGAAACCGAAGCTGCCTTGCAGGGGCTTGGGAGATGAAATAACTCCTGTTCCCGCTTGCCGCCTTCCAGCCCCGACCATCTCCTGCCCCCTGGAGCATCATCCCACGCCGGCACCGCGGCACAGGACAGGTGCTGCAGCCGCCCGGGTCAAATCCCTCGGGATGAAAGAGGTGCCGGCCGGACGCTCCGCGCAGCCCTCGCAGCCCGGCCGGTTGGGCACAAGCCAAAAAACAATTTAAAAAAATAAAAAGAAAACCCACATTTTTTTTTCAGCGGAAACCGCTGATTCATCCCCGGGCCAGCCTGCCCCGAGCGCTGGCGTGTGCGTGTGCCCCAGCGAGCAGCGCTGCGGGGGGAACCCCGTCCCCAGCAAGCATCACTGTGCAGTGCAGACCAGGCTCTCGGCTGCGCCGGGGGGTGCTCCAGCAGCATGAAATCCCCTTCAGGAAAGAGCCTGGCTTCAGGAAAAAAATACTTTAATCACCCCAAAAGCAAAGTTCTGAGCTGAGGTGCCCCAACCCACTGCTCTTTGGGCTCTTTTGTTTAATGTTTGGACATGATTTCTTTCCACAGCCCCTGAGGGGAGGGCATGGTGCCGGCTGGAAACTGCGGCTGCTCCAGGCCCTTTGCTCTGTGCCCGAGCAGCACTGGGGTGGGGAGAACACCCCTGCCAGGACCCCGGGAAGGGCCACGCTGTTCCATAAGGAGCATTGTTAATTTGAGGGATAACTAGCTTATTAGATATAGGCTTGGGGGGGCTGAAATTGCACAGGGTTTTTGGGGGAGGGAGGGTTTAAGGAGCTTATGGAGCTTCGCAGCCGGAGCCAGGGAGCTCAGCCCCAGCAGCAGCCGGTCCCAGCGGGTGGAGGGGCTCTGCCACAGCCCCCCACTGTCCCAGCCAAGGAAATCCTCTTAGGGGTCACAGGGTTCAGCCCCACGGCCCCGCCCCTTAGGGCACAGGAAAGGGGACTGCGGCATCCCCCTGACCTTTACGGGCTCTGAGGAGCAGCATGGGGCACCCAGGCCAGGGTGGGGACCAACAGTGCCAGTGCTCCCAGCACACTCCCAGCCCTGGCTGTCCCTAAGCCCTTGGCCCTGCTCGCACCCCCCTGTTTATCCCATCCTGCTGTCGCCAAGCAGTGCCCACAGCTGCAGCAGCTTAGGAGGGCGCCTGGGTGGCCCCCAGGACACGGTCCCCTGTCCGGGCTCCTCTCCAGCCATCTGCCACCCCCTGGCCCGGATCAAGCGTGCCGGGATCTCCTGGCCACCGGCGGAGATGCCAGCGGGGTGGGAGGGGAAACTGAGGCACGAGGCAGGCAGGAGCGAGGCCACGCAGGGGGCTGGAAGCAGAGCCCAGAGGAGACTCCATGCTCAATTCATTCTTTTTAAAGTAGTTTTTTTCCCCTGCAGGAACTGCCCTGCCTCTCACCCTGCCCCTCCCTGCCAGGGCTGCCCCCAGCTGGACCTCAGCCACAGCTCTTCCAGAGGTGCCAGCACGGCTGTTCCCCTCGCTGGGGGGAGTGGCTCCCGTTTGGAAGCCCCACGGAGAGCCCTGACCTCGAGGGCTTCCCGCCGTGATGCGGGGCGAGAGCCCACCCTTCCTTCCCGCACGCTTTTCCCACGCTGGACAGGGAGCAGGACACAGAGGGATGAATCACCATCATCACCATCACCTCCTGCATCCTCGTGGGGAATGGGCCAGCCTCTCTGGTGCCCGAGCCCCCGGCCCGGAGGAGAGGGGATCGCAGGATGTGTACAGCAGTGTGGGGAGTGAGTGAATTGTTAGCACGGAGATGATTAAAAATATCCACCCTATTTCTGGCCAGCACTGGGCTGGGATCTGGGAAGAGCTGTTGGCAAAAGGGAGCTGTGCCGAGCCGCTCCCAGCACTGTTCTTTCCATACTGGTCACCTTCCTCCTGCCGACACACGGACAGGAAAGCCTTGAGAGGAGGACAGACGTAAAGAGACCACGGGGGTGACGGGATGGGGGAGGACTGACCCTGCCCAGCCCATCACCCCGCACCGGGGCACAGCAGCTCAGCTCCCACCCCTTTCCTATCACTTCAGTATTTTATAGATGTATTTTTTTCATGCACTCAGACGCCGGGGCTCCGTGGAGGATGACGCAGGCCCCGGGGAGCTGCGACAAACCTCTGGCGCGCGATAACAAGCAAAGGCAAACAAACCCGGAGACGCTCCCGCAGCTGGCAGGGCTCCAGGCAGCGCGGCCGCCCGGGCAAGGCGCCGGGGGACACACTTGGGGACACGCTTGGGGACAGGGCAGCTTCTTCCCCAGCAGCCTGGCCACGAGGCCACCTCGATCCCACCCTGGCACTGGGATGCTTTAGCCAGAGGGATGCTGTGCTACAGACCCACACCCCAACCCAGCAGCTGTGACTGCACAGCCACCTGGTCCCCTGTGGCACCACAGCCATTCCCGACAGCAGAGCCCGGCCAAACTCATCACACCAATGTCCCCCAGCCCAGACCCATCACGCCCAAGCCCACTGTCTGCAGCTGCACAGGGAGGTTTGGGGCCGGGCATCTGGGTTTCATCCCTGCCTCTCCAGGCAAGAGAAGGGGCTGGACCATCCACGACATGCCACTGTCACCCCATATCTCATGGTTCTCTGGCTTCAGGGAGGCTGCATGCAGATGATCAGCCCAGGAAGCTGCTCACCACCAGTTTGGTGTGTGGCTCCCAGCTGGCCCTCAAGGAAGACCCTGGGAGAATTCTCCACCACTGCCACCCGTGTCAGAGTACAGGCAGGAAAGAGGCGAGTGGCACCCCTTCCCAGCCCCAGTGTGCTTGGATCCAGCACACTGCTGGCATTTCTTCTCCACGTGCCAGTGCAAATCAGCCCTTCTCCCACCACAATCCTCCCTCTAGGCAGCAAGGGCAGGGGGAGCCCTGCCAAACTACCTCAGGCAGGAGGGAGAAGGACTGCAGATCCTGAGCACAGCCAGGAACCATTGCTCCAACCAGCTGGGGCCAAAAAAAACCAACCCCAAACCAGCCCCTAGCTTGTGGCACAGCAAGCTTAACCATGCCTATCCAGAATTAATCTCAGTCCTGGAGTACACCGTGGTGGTTGACACCAGGTCCAGCTGGGACTTTGCTGGAGCCTCCCCTCCCCACAGCTCTGAGGAAGAGGTGTTTTAAGCCAAGGTGGAGAAGCATCTGTACAGCAGCTAAAGTGCCCCAGCAGCCCCCAAACCCTCCAAAAACGCTGTTTGGAGAGGAAAGTGGAGCCCGCCTCTGGGGAGGAACTTGCTCACTGCTTTCCAGCCTGGACTTGTCCCCAGACTCTTCATACCAGCCATTTTTTCTGTCAAGACCAGCCTGTAACACCCATGGCTATTGCTGCTTCCCCATGTTTGCTGTCAGCCCCCCCGGCCCCTCCTGCCTGGCTCTGCTGTGCTCACCATCAGTTCTGCCACCACATCCTTGGGCTCACAGGTTCAGCAGGTGACCAGAGGGCAAAGGCACATTGGGACAGCAAAGGAGGGGCACAGGCAGCACAGCCCCAGCTCTCCCACAGACCCCAAGGGCAGGCAGACATGAGACTCCTCGTGTCTGTCACCTCCTGACACACATCCAAGCAGGCAAGCCCCCAGCAGGAACAATTTCCGTTCCGCTCCTCAAGGTTTGCAGCCCTGGGAGCTGCCTCATCAGCCTCAGCCTGCTCTGCTCAGCAACCTCAAAACACGAGCTCAAGACAAACCCCTCCACCAATGAGCACCCCAAAGCTGACCCAGAGGTCCCCCCACAGCTCCTGGAGTGGCTGGGTGGGCTAAGCAGCCCCGGTACGAAAGGGTTAAGCCCCTTCCCCCCACCCAGCACCCTCCCCTCCTGCCTCTCCCGGCTCCCTGCCAGCTCCCAGGCGTTAATACCAGCTGGGGGGGTCGGGGCGGCGTCAAGCTGCTGTCTGGAATCGGGGTGCTGCCGGGGGGGCTTCCTGCACCTCAGCACCCAGCTCTGCCAGATGGAGGGAGCCACCCACCCACAACAGGAAGCACACTGGGGGGACTAGGCAGGCTACCAGCCCCCCAAGGCTGCGTGTGCTGGTGCAGATCGGGAGCTCAGCCACACCTGAATACGGATCCCCGTGGAGATTTCTGAGGGTGCAGATCGCTGATGCCCCCCGAGCAAGGAGGAGGAAGAGGAGAAGGAGCCTGTACCGGGGTGCTCACGGTTTCCTCCATCTTGGGGGCCCACCCTGCCCCCCACTCCAACAACCAGACTCTTACCTTTGAAGGAGAGCTGAACCCTGGGCGTAGCGAAGCCGTGGTCTTTGGGGTGGGCAGCCCGCCAGCCCAGAGTCAGCAGGGTGGCCCAGAGCAGGACACCGACCACGGGCATGGTGGGCACGCGCCTGGGCGCCGACAGCGAGGGCAGTCTGGGGGAGCCGAGCCTGCCAAGGAGGGCACACGTGGGAGGGATGTCAGTTCACTGCACCCACCACCCCCCGAGGGGTACGAGCCCCACATCCCGCTCTCCATCACCCGCTGGCACGCAGCATCCTCCGGGGAGGACTGAAAGCCAGCCCCGGGAGGCTGAACCCTGCTCTGCAGACTGGGGGGTGGGGGGCACAAATCGGGGGGCCACAGCCTCACCTCCCAGTGAGCGCGCAGGGCGAGGCAAGCGCGGCGACAGCCGCTGCAGCACCCTCCTCCAGCCCAGCTGGCGAGCCTCGGCCAGGTGAGGAGCATCCCTCCATCCCTCCTCACCCCCCCCTCAGCTGCAGCATCCCCAGCCCCCCACTGGGCTGGCTTTCCCTGCCCCGGCACCCAAAGGGGTCCCACTCCCAGCCCTTGCCTTCCCACCTCTCCTCCCAGCCCCCAGCAAAGCCACAGCAAGCAGAGCTGGGATCAAATCTTTCCAACATGAAGGAAATCTGGACTTCATTATTCCAAGAACGTACCAAAAAAAAAAAAAAAAAAAAAAAGGATTTTTTTTTCATAAATAAAAGAGGAAGAAAAAGAAGAGGGAAAAAAAAAAAGCCCTGCCTGTGTGCCAGGCAGCTGGACTCCCTGGGGCTCCGGCACTGAGCGGAGTCCGCCAAGCTGCCTCCAGCAAGCCACACACGCACCCCGGCACGGCACGGTGCACGGTGCCCCCGCGCCCCCCACTGCCCCTCCTGGACACACCGCCCCTGGGTCAGGCCCCTCTCCCGAGGCAGCACCCTCCTGGGGGTCTGCAGGGCACTGAGGCAGGATTTGGGAGGAGGCCCGTGGTGGGAAGCCCCTGGTGTCCCCAGGGAGCTGCGCGCCTGGGTGGGACGCACTGTGCCACAGTACCCGGGTGGGCTCAGGCATGTGGGGAGCATCCAGCCAGCCCCGTGGGAACAGGGGGGGGTCCCCACCGTGACACCCCAGTCAAGCCATGCCCTCCAGGGCTCTGCCAGCTGCCACCACACAGCCCCACGGGGGACAGGCACACCCAAAGAAGCGGGACGGAGGGCTGGGAACCCTTTGGGGCACCCCGCAGAGAGATGCTGAGCTGCAAGGGGGGCAATCCTGCACCCCACCCGGGTGGTCTGGCTGGCCTCTCCTGCAGTGCACAGCACCCACACCGCCAGCCCCAGCCCCAAGCAGGGCAAGGGCAGCAGCACTGTCACCAGCAGCAGGGCAGGACCCCGAGTGTGGTGGCACCGCTGCTCCCCGGGGCTGTGTATTTTTTTTCCTCCTTCTTGCCTTTGGGGTCAGTAAATATTTCAATTTGCTCCTCTGTCCCCGAGCACACCCAGCTCTGCTCCATTGTACTGGTATTCGGTCCGTTTTCAGGCTGCCTTCCCCCTTCTCCCACCCATTCCCAGGCTCTGCCCTTCCCATCAGCGCCAGGCCGGGACAGCCTGCACCCCCAATTCCTCCACCAGCCAAAACTCCAGTTGGTTGCAGTTAAATAACCCCCCTCCATCCAAACCTCCCCCCTCTCCCCGGCAGCTTTAGGAAATAATTCTGGCAAATCCTACTATTGCATTTGGATGGAGCGGCGTACGCGTCAGAGACAGGGAGCGAGATGGCAAACAAAGGAAAAGAGGGAGAGGAGGGGAGCGCAGCAAGCGCAGGGTGAGGAGAGGGGAAAGGGCCGGCGGTGAGTGGGGGGCACACAGACCCGGCTGGGAAAGGCAAATTCCAAGAAAGCAAAAAAGGGAAACGGGCCACCGGAGTGCACCTTGGCCAGGAAATGTCCATTTCCAGGGTCATCTGCACTCGGGGGAAACGGAGAACTCCAGGGGAGAGCGGCCACATTCCTGCCCTCCAGCCCCCGGGCTGTCTGGGCTTGGAGGAGTTTTTTAGCAATTAAAGTTTGGCCATTGCTTGTGCTGCCGCAGGAAGATCAAAATCCCACTCGGCTTTATTCCCCCTTCCCCAGGCTGGTCAACCCAGCGCTGCCGAGCCCCAGCAATTAGGGAAAGGTTTTCTCGTCTGGAACAGGGACTCCTTTTGGGGATCGAACCCCCAAAGAGGGCCGAGGGGATGCCTCGGGAGAGCCCCGGGGGGACCCAGGGGTAGCGCTGCCTGCACGCCTGCTCCCCGCGGCCCCGGGAGAGAGCAGGAAACATTTTGGGAGGGAAAAGCAACAGAGGCAGGACAGGCAGTGGGAGGGGAGCCTGGCCCACCTCCGGCCACGGCGCGCGATGCCATCAGCGGGAAGGGGGGAAAAATAGGGGGGAAAAAAATAACATAACATAATACAATAACGCTAAATGTCCAGCGCGGCCCCGCGCACACGGGAAATAACTTTGCACAACTTTGCGCTCTGGCACGCCCGGCCTGTCCCCAGGGAGCGCCGGCTGTCCCCTGCGCCCCCCGCCCGGGCGTTCTCCGCGCAGCCCCGGGGTCCCGCCGGGCTCGGCGTCCCGCCGGGGCGGGCTCCGCCAGCCTGCTGCAGGGCGCCGGGCGTTCTCCGGCGTGTGTGTCTCCCCCGGCACCCCCTCCCTGGGCACCCGCTCGCCGCCGAGCCCTGCCGCAGCCCCCGTGCCCGGGGAGCTCCCTACCAGCTCCCGTCCCCTGCCACAGTCCCCCCGCCCCGAGCGGGACCGGGGCGCGCCTGCCCAGCCGCGGCTCCCGGGAGCAGGGGGACCGGCTGTACGCCCGGCTCGGTATTACCCCGCTGCGAGGCGGGGAGCGAGGGTCCCCAGCGCACCCGCTGCCGCCGCCGCCGGCTCGGGGATGGGGTCCCAGCACCGCACCGTCGGCAGCAGCCCAAGCCCCACCTGCCCGCTTCACCGGCAAGTTGCGGCGGGGGGGACCCACACGCGCGAGTTCCGAGCGGCGGAAAGTTTTCCCGGGGCGCCCCCCGCGCCGGGCATCCGCTCCGCCGCCGCTCTTACCTCCGCGGGGGTCCCGGCGGCGGCCGGGCGGTGAGCAGGGCGGCGGGGCTCAGCGCCGCGCC